TTATCCCCCACATATTCCCCCATATACACCATATATTGCACCCCACACCCCATACTTTGCCCCCCATGTACGGTGACGGTGGCCAGCAGCCCCTTATACCCCATATATTGCTGACATATACCCAATATATTACCCCTTATACCCCATAAGTTGCCCGCCACACCCCATATTTTGCCCCCCACGTACGGTGACGGTGGCCAGCAGCCCCTCAGGGACGTTGGCCACGATGATGCCGATGAGGAAGATGACGGCCTCCAGCCACGTGTAGCCCAGGATGAGCGAGAGGATGAAGAAGGAGATGCCGAGGAAGACGGCGACGCCGGTGATGAGCTGGATGAAGTGCTCGATCTCCACCGCGATCGGCGTCTTCCCCACCTCCAGCCCCGACGCCAGCGTCGCGATGCGTCCCATCACGGTGCGGTCCCCGGTGGCGATCACCACCCCGCGGGCTGTGCCTGGCGCGGGCTGTGCCTGGAGGGGCGGAAATTGGGGGTCAGAGACCCAAAATGACCCCAAAAATGGGCCTGGGACCCTAAAAATGGTCTAAGAACCATGAAAATAGCCCCAAGAATCATGAAAATAGCCCCAGAAATGGCCCTGGGATCCCCAGAAATGGACCCCAAAGCAGCGTGGGGACGTGCCCCATCACAGTGTGGTCCCCGGTGGCGATCACCACCCCACGGGCTGTGCCTGGGGGGCGGAAATTGGGGGTCAGGGACACAAAATGACCCCAAAAATGGGCCTGGGAGCCCTAGAAATGGTCTAAGAACCATGAAAATAGCCCCAGAAATGGTCTAAGAACCATGAAAATAGCCCCAGAAATGGCTCAGTGACCCCAAAACAACACCAAAATGGTCCTGAGGTCCCCAGTAATGGCTTTAGGAACCCAAAATAACTCCAATATGGTCCTAGGATCCCAAAATAACCCCAACAATGGTTCTGGGACCCCCAAAATAGCCCCAGAAATGGCTCAGGGACCCCAAAACAACCCCAAAATGGTCCTGAGGTCCCCAGGAATGGCTTTAGGAACCCAAAATAACTCCAATATGGTCCTAGGATCCCAAAATAACCCCAACAATGGTTCTGGGACCCCCAAAATAGCCCCAGAAATGGCCCTGGGACACCCAGAAATGGCTCTAGGAGCCTAAAACAGCCCCCAAATGGTCCTGGAACCATGAAAATAGCCCCAGAAATGGCCCTAAGTCACCCAAAAATGGCTCAGGGATCCCAAAAATGGTCCAGGAGCCACCAAAATAGCCCCAGGAATGGAAAAAAAAAGCCCGGGGAGCCACTAAAATAGCCCCAGAAATGGCTCAGGAACCACCAAACCAGCCTCTAGAAATGGTCCTGGGACTCCCCAAAATGGCTCTAAGAACCCAAAATAGCCCCCAAAAATGATCCTAGGACCCTAAAAAAATGGCTCTGGGAACCCAAAAATAACTTCAAAATGGTCCTGGGACCTCAAAAAAAATGGCTCACGGACCCCAAAATGATCCTGGTACCCAAAAATGGTCCAGGAACCCAAACCAGCCCCATAAACCTGCCCAGGGATCCCATAAACCCCCTCCCCCCAAAAATGATCCTAGGACCCTAAAAAAATAGCTCTGGGAACCCAAATATAACTTCAAAATGGTCTTGGGACCTCAAAAAAATGACTCAGGGACCCCAAAATGATCCTGGTACCCAAAAACGGTCCAGGAATCCAAACCAGCCCCATAAACCTGCCCAGGGACCTCATAAACCCCCTCATATCCAGCTCCAGGGATCCCATATTGACCCCAAACACCCAAAAACCCCCCATAACCCCCCGGGGACCCTCCCCAGGACCCCTCCTCACCCTCAATGCAGTTGGTGCTGAAGGTGGTGATGTTCCAGGTCTCCAGGGGTTGTCGTGGGTGCCCCAAACTCCCCAAAATC